AGAAATTGAATTAATGTGACCTTGAATTCCTCATAGACTCTCAACCCAATCCCACTCCCACCCCCCATCAAGAAGAAGAAGCAATCACTTACAAGTTTCGAGTAAGAAAATGAATACATTACATACCTAGCATCAGCCATAACTTGAACTTTAGCACCACCACCACGCAAATCAGAAAAGAACAGCTTTGAACTGTATGCTCGTTTGCTCATGATTCGACCTAGCATAAAAGAAAAGTGACAGAGTTTTAACAAAAAAGACAAATGAACATAACATAATGGATAACATAAAATATGACTGAGAAGTGCCCTGAGCCTGACTCAGATACCTGCCAAAGCTTAAGTGACATCCTCCATATGCTCCCCATTGCCTAAGCCTCCATACTTCTCTACATATTCAACAATTGATACGGATGCAAAGATCTTATCGGGATACGGGTTTTTCCCCTCTGTCTTCTAAGCTGCAAGAAATTTCAGCCAATTCTCAAAGTGTTGCTGCAAGACAGGGAAGAAAAACAGAATAGAATTAGACTGTTATAATATCAACAAGATTACAGAAAGTTTTAGTATTTTGTTGGATACTGAGCCTTGCAAGCTGATATCAAAAGCAAAAATGATAATTTACCGTTGGATCCATATCCTAATCTTCTGCAACTGTAGATTTCTAACTCTGGGCGCCAGTCTTTGCTGCAGCAGCCTGAAAATATATGAATTAAGCACCCGATTCTTGATTGAAACAAAAATTTATGCAACGTATGTTAGCTTAAGTAAGATGGATTTGAGCTAAGATACCAACTTGGCAGCTCCATGCGGCGGCGCTCCTCCTCCCTCTGCTTATTCTTAAGTTCCTTCATGAGTGCACTGTCAACGAATCCCAAGAAACGAAATTAGACTGATTGATTGAGGTTTCCAAAAATGTAAGAGAAAGAAAGAAAGGAGATACTTTTTGCTCTGTTTTTCACCAGGTGTGGCGGAATCCATTTCCAAATCCGAGACAGCTTTAGCGGTTTCTTCGACGGTGCTGTCCATGTTCAGAGATGGGGAAGCTAGAGGGTGGCGCCAGATGGTGAGATGCCGACTACCGAGTCCAGTGAGGCTTTCTTTGGGTTTTCACAAGTTGCTTTTTAATTTTTACGTTTTTTAAAAGGATAAATTGTATTTTTGTCTCAAATTGATGGTTATGGGGATCGAGGGTCATTAGTCATTTGTCTTAATTTAGTCTCTCATTTTATTAGAATAATAATTAGGTTTTTTTATGAGTTTAAAAAAATAGTCTTATTTTATTTCATCTAAAAATATAATAATTGTATTCCTTTATTTCAAAAATATAATATCCTTTTTTAAATACCTATTCAACCATAAAAAACCCCCCCCCTTTTTTTTTAAGTTTTTAGT